GAAGAAATAGAGAGAGAGGGAAAAATAGGTAAAGAGTGAGAAGGAGATCCAATTTCTCGTTTTCGGGTGTCATCCGATGAATTCGACATCCAGCGTCGTTGTCGACCTGACGAATTGTCTTTCATATTTCGCGGATTCGATCGCGCGCGACGATTCGCTCCGACTAATTATAACGTGCCCCAGAATGGACAAATAATACTCTCCAGCTGAATAATGAATTCTTTTTGAATTTAGCACGTACTTTTCCCAACGCTAATAATTTTTGAGTTACAAACCATAAAAATAAATTGCACGAATTAAGCTTTACAGCGGTAAATAAATAACGAAATGTTATCCGTCAATATTATCAACTTCACTTTAATAGAATTTTATTTAAAATTCGTTCAAATATATAGGCATTATATTGATATTCGAAAGATTAAAATTTCCTACGGACAGCGTTTGTTCGTCGAAGAACAAATACATGTGTCTCATCTTTTTGTCCGAGCGAGCAATATGATAAGATTCTCGGAATGTCGGATGGTCTGGATTAATGTCGGTTAGTGCGCGATCGGATAACATCTCATTGACGCGAAAAAACGTTGGCTGCATCTAGTCGGCGTCTCGCGACCTATCTTGTAAGCGTAATAATGTTATCGCGTGTAATTACACACAACGGAGGTACGTCAAGTCGATCGGGGCCGAGCAGAGTTGACTCGTCTCGTCTAGTGTTGTTTTGCAAAATTGGTCGATTCGGTATTATCCGCGCCGCCAACTTCCTTTACATTATATTAATTATCGTATTATCGATGCGATCAATTAGGGCGATATTTAATCATATCATGGCGCGACCACGTAGTTAAACACGTTATTTCAAACGGAGAACTGAGTTTAGAATTAGGGACAAATCATGAGTGTTGCCATTATATCAGTATATAATTTTCTTTCAATTTTTTTTGTAAACAAAATATTTAATTTCTTTCTAAAATGGACCTCAGTCCTCAAGTATTTTGGATTTATTTTGTTCTTTTCAAACGTGCGCGATATTAGCTTTCTAAGGTAGTTAAGATTTACTCGGATAATATATAAGCGAATAACAAGATTCTTTCTCTCTTATTTTATGAAAACTACAAGTAATTGATTTAGATGCTCTTTTGTAAAATAATTTGTCGACGGCAGCAATCGCCGGACTCGATAATCGACTGTATACCAAAGGCAGTATCACTTTGAGAGCGATCTGCGTCTTCATAGAATTACAGGTAAGAAGAATCGATTGCAATTATAAATTGATTGTTTCCCGCATCGAGACGGTCCTCGGGCGGCGAGACCCATTTCGTATCTGACTGTATACGTAGCCTAGCCTTGTGTACGATATTACTCGAAGTAGCTCGTCTTTCGTGTACGATATAGCGTGTTGTTAGCCGGTGGAAAAAAGATACACCGCTAACACGATAGGCCTTAAGGTGTACTTGCACAAAATAAAATGTTTACTAGAAGTTCGATAATCGTCGTGAAAGTAGACGAGGATTAAGAACCCTCGAAAGTGTTGTCGGATATACATATATGCGTATGTATATATATATATATATATATATATATATACATACGTATCTATATATGTATATATTATTTTGTACATAATCGTTGTATTATAATGCGTGCAGCCGAACAAAATGCGCGATTATGTTAATTAATGGCGATCGTTCTTTTATATCACGGTATTATACCATTATGCGTTATTATTATTATAATGATCATAGATGACTACTATTTTTACGACTGCTATCTTATTACTTTTATTATTATTAATTATTTTTATCATGTGAGTATTATATATATATATTACATTGTATTATTATTGTATTTAAATTGCGAGCCAGACGAGAAAATATATAAAATTGAAATACTCAACAATTTTGTATATGTAATTTGCACCGTGTATCCAAGAAAGAGGTATGCTTCTCTTTCTTCTTCTAATGTATTTCAATTTTTACAATCCCTTGCTTCTCTGCTTTACTATCTTATTAATATTATCACTCAAAGTTGATTTACTGTGTTCTGGAAAGCAAAGGAAAGGAACTTTCAGAATTGACAATTATTTTGTCCTCCCATAATATTACATTATAGTATCGCGATAAAAGATCGCGTGCACCTGAGACACCCTGTACAGAATAATGTGAATATATACTATCTATGAATTTTATAAGGAAGAACTACAGGATACTCTCGAATATGTTGACTCTCATCGCGCTATAAATGTCATTATGAAAATTACACAATCGGCATATTCGAAATGCTCGAAAAAGTTTGATCGATTGATGATTCCATCAAGGAGTAACGGTTGATCCCGTACTTCGTGCATGAATGAGAAACGAAATTGACACCTCTTCCCTTTTCTCTTTCCAACCTTCCCGGTAGATAGAAGCAGTCGCTTTGGCGTCTGACGTACTTTAATATCGCGAACAAAGAGGACGAAATGATCGTGTTGCCTTTAACAAAGGAGAGAGGAGGTGGCGTCCCGACGACTCACCTGCTCTCTCGCCGTGGAGCGAGGATCGTTTCTCGGAGAGGAGGTAGGTACCATAGGTAATGCAGTCTTTACTCATCCGGCTGTTGCCAACGTTGTAGCGACCTCGTTCCATCAACTTCTACGTTTCCCCTAGCTAGCTATCTCCTTCGTTTCCTCTTTCCTTTCTCTCCGCTTACTCCCTCCTTCTTTCTCTTTCTCTCTTCCTCAGCCCTCAGGAAAACTCGACTTCCTCCCCCCCGGTTCCAATAAGGCTGCCGCCTCCCACCTCCTAGTCTAGCTGGTGCTTTCCCTCTCTGCTTTTCACCCTCTGCTTCCCTCACGTGTTCGCTCTGCCGTTCTCCTTTTCTTCTCTCTCTCTCTCTTTCTCTCTCCCGTGCTCTCTCAACCCTCAACCCTCCGGCGAACCCTAAAGCCCTGCTTCCACTGGAGAGCCAGGCCTCTCTTGCGTTCTCTTCGCCACGGCATTGTTGCTATCGATTCGGACTTGGAAACGTGTTTTTCTTCGGATATCTCGTGGCTACCGTCGGTTACGACCACCTATCCGGTCGACCGGATAACGAGAATTCTAGAAAGGCAGTGTATATGTGTCCGACCCTCGTTCACCCTTTTTCACGTCTCTTTCTCTGTCTCTCTGAATTTCTCCGCGTTACTACCTCCACGTTGTTATATTTCCCGCATCGTGCCTTTTGCGCTCGCGATAAATAGTTTGATTTTCACGCGCGATGTTCATGCGTTTGCTCCTCTCGTTTTTATCTATATTTTTTTTTGCTTGTCCTCAAATCCGTTTATCCCATTTCTTTTGCATTTGTACGTTCACTATATCTGCATAAAAATTAGTTATGTAATTGAGAAAATTAATGCAATTGGTTTGTTTAATTAACTAATTTTTTTAAAAATTTCCATTCTTTTTTTGCTTTTATTTGCTTTTTGAGTCTTAGATATTATTATTAATACTGTAATTATTAAAATTACAATTTTTGCACAATATACATATATACATGTGAAAGGAGTACTATGATTATTTTGAGTTGCGGTAAATTTTCGTCGTCGCGCTGTAAATTGCTCGTCTTACTTTATCGATTTTCAGTTATTTTACTCCTGGTGTCCGCCTCTCTATATCAGGTTGCGAGTCGCGATCTGACAAGTCGATGTAGATAAGTCGCCGGTAGAGTTTGACGCGATGAGAGAGAAACTCCCATTAGACTCGATGGCCGTAAGCTGCGTTCCCTCAGAGATAGACTCGAACCACTTTCGTCGTCTTTGTTACGCCGAGATGTTCGCCGGCTTGGCTTCGATTGTTTCGCAAAGACCATTGAGGAACCGTGCCACTTTACGAAGCTGACACGTCGTTGCAAATAGACAACCAGGACGCCCGGCGGCGAAGCAAGGAAATCGCACGAGAGATTTCAACGAACGTTACGATATTAAGCTGCACGTCCTAAATGCTAACCGCATTACCGTACGATATTTCATCAGACGTTTGTACTCGGACTTTGTACTCGTTCATTGACATTTCACTTCATTTGCAAAAAGATTCAAGTATCGTTTGCGGTAAATAGAAAAAAAATACGTGACGTACTTAAGCTTCAATATTTAAATTTCGCATTTACTACAACGTTATTTTACATTTAGAAACCACCATATTTTTATTTACGTTTAACTTTACATATATATTTTTCTATCTGTATAAAAACTTCTATCGAAACGCACGAAACATATGTATTTGCATATCATTTAAAATTGCTCTTTACTTTATTCGCATGAATTTTATTGATTAAAGGTAGATTCTAGTTTCGTCGCGCTTCGGATTGAGATCGAGCGACGTCGAAGCGCGTCGGAGATTTCAATGATCGGTCATACTTTCGGTCGGTGCGCACGTACGTGCAATCCATCGATGCGTCGCGAAAGAGAGCGTGCCATTGTCTCGCAATATACTCGCCGTACATCGCGTCCCCGTAACTCTCGTTTTCGATGGGCCGGGATCGGCCGATTAAGGCGTCCCCCGCGCGGTCCCTTGCGGCCCGCAGTGGCGATATTACCGGGGGTTTAACTCGATCGAACGGCGATTTAACATTTCACCCTCGCTGGCTTGCGCGATGTATGTGACGTCCATTGTCCTTCGGGGATTCCGATAAAAAGAGAGGAAAAAGGTTTTCACGGACGGCGAGAGCCGGAAGAGTTTTGCGAGCGACGCGATTCTAAATCGATT